ACATATACACACACAACATACATTGCATGTGATGTTGTGTGTGTATGTATTTGTGTACCTCTGTTACACAAAAAGTTTAATGTTAAGGACTATCCATACAATGTTATTGTATGTGTATTAACGATAGTTTGTTGTCCATTTTCGGGTTTTTTGGAAAATACTTTGATACAAAACACAATAAAAAGACACACAACTAACACAACATACGTATATGTAAGAAAACATTTACACACACAACATACGTACATAGCATAATAGAAACAAAAATCACATCCAAAAAAGAAACGATAGAAACAGAACATGTAAGAATACATAAATGGTTTGGTTTAACAAAGGTTAATGTTACCTGAATGTTTTTTTTTTTTGTTTAATATGATGCAGCTTCGAACAAATGAAGTAAAATCGTATTCCAAGAGATGATCAGCGTGAGAAGAAAGAGACGTAAAGGATATAGAAAATAGAAAAAGGTGATATTTATTGGAATTTTAGAGATTATGATAATCCTTAATAGCCATAATTTTAGGGATTCTTATTTCAAATCAGTGAAAATTATAAGAGTTCAAATTTCAAATCCCTATAATTAGGGTAAACAATCGGGTATATAAAAATGAGATTATATAGTTTCTAGATATAATCATCAACGTTTTGAAAAAATTTGTGTATTGTATTTATTTTAAACTTTAATTCGCTTAAAATCACCAAATTGTATTTATTTTAAACTTTAATTCGCTTAAAATCACCAAATTGTTATGAGGATCATTAATTTCGTTTGTAACCGTATATTCAATTTCCAAATGCAGGTTATAAGAGGCATAAACGAAGAAGGGTATATCAGTAATTTTAATTTATTAGAAAAAAGGTTGTAGAATGGACACGTGACAGAGAATGATTCTTTTATTAGATAGGAAGATTAACTTAATATGTAAACAAATAAATATCTATGAGTTGTGTGTGTGTGTATAAATATATATATATATATATATATATATATATATATATATATATATATATATATATATAAAGATGTGTAAACAACAAAGAAATGGAAAAGTTTAAGGTTTTGGTATCCCACATCGCTTGTGGAACAAAAGATGAAGGCAAACATACCTTATAAAAAGGGGTTGCATCATCCTTTAAAAAAAACAGCCATCCTTTTAGCTAGTTGGCTCCTTTGAGCCAGCAGTTTTCTTCAGTAGCAGGCTCTATTGAGTCGATAATTTTCTTTGCTAGGTGGCTCCATTGAGCTATTTGGCTTGACTAACCAGGTCTGATTAAGAGTCCGATTTGGACAGATGTAGTCCGATTTGGACCGAATTGGACCGATTTTGACAGATTAATACTAAGGTCGGTTAGCCAACCCTTTAACTCTTATTCGTAGGCAGTTGGAGGGTCCAAGCGTCTAGGCGCCAATAACACTGATATATATATATATATATATATATATATATATATATATATATATATATATATATATATATATATATATATATATATATATATATATATATATATATATATATATATATATATATTAGCTAGCTAAATACAAAAAATTTAGAAATCATTGATTAAAATTGATATTTTAAGAAGTTTTATGTTTGGTATGAGTGTTCTATAATAAATGAATGTTTTATTATTACTTGTCATACTCTCATTCAATTTTCCAAATGTCATTTTCTGGTATTTAAAATTTTTTTTTTCATATGTTATTTTATGTATTTTTTCTATTTTATTAAATTTCAAATCATATTTTAATGTAATAATTACAATAAATATATTAATAAATGGATATTAATGCTATGAATAGTATAGTGGGGTTGAAAGATAAGAGTGCCCGCCCCTTGTTTCTCAAGTAGGTCCATTGATTTCCATCCCGATGTACATATTTTATTGTTTAGGTTAATTAGCAACAACCCCTCAAAAGCGCGTTTGACTAAGAAGATAGAAAGGGCTTTTCTCGCTTGGCTAGTAAAATCAAGATTTTGGCCTTATCATCCAGGTGACGACGACGTCGAGTTGACGGCAGAGAAAGACTGGGCATTTAAGCGAGCCGCCCAGTGGTGTGGTACGTAGTGGGTTTATTACGCCCCGCCAAAATGGTTCCGAAGCAAACAAAAAGGTGCAACATTTTAGTTTAAAAATTCTTATAATTAAAGTTCATTAATTTCTTTTATTTATTTAAATTTAAAAGATAAAAAACAATTCGATTAAATAATTTATTATTATTTTTTATTTTTTTATAAATTTAAAGTTGTAAAACATTTTAACATTTATATATATGTTTTTTTAATTAACTAATATAATATATAACTCTTACGCACTAATGTGTTATAATTAACAATAAATTACAATTAAAGATTTTGTTTATTTCAACTATGGCTATTCAAAATGTCAAATCTTAACCTGCCACGTACCATTGTAAAACCGTAATCCTCTATTCTAATAAATAAGTACAATCATATCACGTGTCAGTCTCTTAGACCCCAACCAATAAGTTTTCCCGCTTTTTTTTTAAGAAACCCTATTACGTAAATGCCCTTTAAGAGACTGAAATCAAAAGATCGAGTTGCAATTGCAATAAATCCCAAAAATCCGGAAAAACCTGCATTCAAAATATGCAACCAATCAATTAAAATTAATAAAAGATTTCAAAATAATATGAAAAATCGGTTCTTCAAATTTGAAATTTGAAAAACCCGATTTAATATGGCAGTTTTTTAATTGTGATTAGAAATTAAATAAATTGCAGTGATTAAATCCCAAAAAATCTACCCCTATTTATCAAATTCCGAAATATATATAATTATACAATTTATACGCTTATTTAGTTTTCAGGATTTTGCTCCATAAAATTCTTTCAAAAAGTTATTCTTCTTGAGTTTTTCTTCAATCGTTCTTGTGGGTACTAGGTTTACTGCAGAATCATTTTCCTCCCTGTTAATTCTGCAACGCTTCCATAAACAAAAATCAGGTTAGTGTTTTCAAATTTATTTGTAGTATTAATTTAACATTTAACATTATGAGTAATCTTCTTCTTCTTTTTCTTATTCTTCTTAATCATCATCTTCTTCTACCTCTTCAGTTATTAACACGATGGCAACATGAAAAAATGATTAACAATAACATATATCTTTGTTAAATATATATATATATATATATATATATATATATATATATATATATATATATATATATATATATATATATATTCGGATTCAGATCCAAAGCTTTAACAACTTACATCTAATAGGTTGGTACCCTTCAAAACATGAAATTTACTTATTTGTAATTACAAGTTTATTTATTATTCATAGGAACCTAATAGTCATGAGTCTTATTTTTCATAATTAAGTTCATCTAAAAAATGATTTATATATACCCAAAATTAAATAAAGGACAAAAAGGTTGTAATATTTTGTTGTTACTGTGAAACTTTTTATATCACTGTACTTTTAATTTACATTGCTATAATAACGATGACATAAATAAGTGATATGTTTGTCAAAAAAATAGTCGGATTCATATCCAAAGCTTTAACAATTCCAATATGTTTTGTTTATTTGGCTTTTAAGTTTTCTTTGTTTTGCGGTTACTGTGGACCTAATTTAAGCATTGTACTTTCAATTTACATTGCTCTAATCTTTAATTTTGTATAAAGATAGTCAAGTAGGCCGGACATTTGGTATTCATATTTATTCGTATGTGTTAAATTATAACTGCATATATTAGTATGGATATCATATTTGATATAAATAATTTTTGACAGACCATAATCATTTATGTATCAAATACTATGTTTAATTAACTTTATAGAATTTCACAATTCATTGATGTTAGTATTTAATTGAAATGACCATTTTGCCCTTACTTTTATTTTTGTATGTTTATAATTGTGTTGTATTTATTGGCAATGTACTTTACATTTTCTTTTTAAAACCTTTTTTTATAAATATATGTTATGTCTAATACAAATTATAAAAATATTCCCCATATGACAGCTACAAAATTTACTTTTCTAAAAAAATTGACCTGTCAATCTTGATTTTACTATCAAGGTAAAAATATTAAAGTTATGGACCCTTAAAAACAACACAAATCCTAATGATTTCCATTCAATTGAAATGATTTTCGTAGATGAAAATGTATATTCTACAATTTCATAGTAATTAGTTTTCTTTTAATTTTTTTTATTTACAATTTCATAGAATTGTAATTCTTATACTAATGTACTTTAAAAATTACATTTCATTATTTTGTAAAAAAAATGAATTTAAAAAAAAAATTAATGACCATTAAATCTATTTTATTGGATTGTATGACTTATATAACAATAACTTCAATGTACTTTCAAATGTAAATAACTATAATTTGAGACAATCGAATATTATTATAAAAATTATTATTTTAACAATTTATTGGTATTCTATGTTTTATAGCAATGTACTATGTAATAATCTTTGTTATAATTTGTAAAAATGGAATGTTTTTAGAAACATCTTATGATTTTTTAAAGTCAAGGACAATTCTCTAATTTTACATCTACACAGTTAACATTCTATAAAAGTATATCTTGGTTACCTATATTTTTTTAAAAAAAATTCAAAACAGCAACATACTAATCTATGTTATAATTTACTTTAATTAATTTAGCATTTTTTTTATCATTTGATGTTCATAGGTTTATGGAGAACTCACGTTTGTCCATAAGAATTCCAAACATCCCAAAAACTAGGCCCCAACATGTCCATGACCTATAATGTAAACAGAGAAAAAGAAATGTTATATAGTTATTCATTTAAATAAACTAAAAACTCATCAAGTATTAGCATATACCATAACATAGTAATGTATTTGTTTTCCTTTATAATGAACTTTAGGCACTCCATGACTCCCACCCATAGTATTGTTTCACCAAGAAAAAACAAATCCACTTCTTTAAATTCAAAAAAGAACAATTTTAATCTGTTTACTAATCACAAAAACATAATGTGCACATACTTTTAAACTTGCCAGTCGTATGGAGGACCATAACTGCAACCTTTATTGTTTCTATGCTCAAACTTAAGAGCTACCTGTCACAAGTCACAACCAAAATTAAAGAAGATGAATTGCAGAAATCAGATTTTATATAAAATGTAAGCTTGATTGTTTGATGCAAGAACATTACCTCTGTAGCACTAAGACCTGATATGCGATCAGTTCCATCAGATACACGATGACAAACAAATACCTGACCAAATCCACCTTTCCCTAATTTTCTTTCAACCTTATATTGAGGTGATCCACCTACTTGAACCTGAAAATCAATGCATTTTATAAGTAAAGAAGCATTACAAAAATTGAATGAGCAATAGACAAGATACCCTTTCATGAAATGGGGCGGTATTCCCTTCTTCTTCCTGGCCTGTAACCCTTTTAGCGCTTTAGCCACCGCTTACATCCGCCATTGCTACTTTGAATGTCTCTTCTCCGGTTTCCTCTATTTGCTTTTTATCCTCCTCTGCTTCAGAAATGACAACCACATACTGTTTTGCTAAACACTCTTTCTTCTTCTTAGTCGGCAGCCTCGGATTCTTTTGTTGCTTCGGCTCAACACCAACCGCCGCCGCTTCCCTAGCTGCAGTCGCTCGAGTTTTAACGTGATTACCCACCAAATGCTCCGATCTCTTATTGGGCCTACCTTCCCTAGCTGCAGTCGCTCGAGTTTTAACGTGATTACCCACCAAAAAAAATTAATGACCATTAAATCTATTTTATTGGATTGTATGACTTATATAACAATAACTTCAATGTACTTTCAAATGTAAATAACTATAATTTGAGACAATCGAATATTATTATAAAAAATTATTATTTTAACAATTTATTGGTATTCTATGTTTTATAGCAATGTACTATGTAATAATCTTTGTTATAATTTGTAAAAATGGAATGTTTTTAGAAACATCTTATGATTTTTTAAAGTCAAGGATGATTCTCTAATTTTACATCTACACAGTTAACATTCTATAAAAGTATATCTTGGTTACCTATATTTTAAAAAAAAAAATTCAAAACAGCAACATACTAATCTATGTTATAATTTACTTTAATTAATTTAGCATTTTTTTATTATTTGATGTTCATAGGTTTATGGAGAACTCACGTTTGTCCATAAGAATTCCAAACATCCCAAAAACTAGGCCCCAACATGTCCATGACCTATAATGTAAACAGAGAAAAAGAAATGTTATATAGTTATTCATTTAAATAAACTAAAAACTCATCAAGTATTAGCATATACCATAACATAGTAATGTATTTGTTTTCCTTTATAATGAACTTTAGGCACTCCATGACTCCCACCCATAGTATTGTTTCACCAAGAAAAAACAAATCCACTTCTTTAAATTCAAAAAAGAACAATTTTAATCTGTTTACTAATCACAAAAACATAATGTGCACATACTTTTAAACTTGCCAGTCGTATGGAGGACCATAACTGCAACCTTTGTTGTTTCTATGCTCAAACTTAAGAGCTACCTGTCACAAGTCACAACCAAAATTAAAGAAGATGAATTGCAGAAATCAGATTTTATATAAAATGTAAGCTTGATTGTTTGATGCAAGAACATTACCTCTGTAGCACCAAGACCTGATATGCGATCAGTTCCACCAGATACACGATGACAAACAAATACCTGACCAAATCCACCTTTCCCTAATTTTCTTTCAACCTTATATTGAGGTGATCCACCTACTTGAACCTGAAAATCAATGCATTTTATAAGTAAAGAAGCATTACAAAAATTGAATGAGCAATAGACAAGATACCCTTTCATTAAATGGGGAGGTATTCACTTCTTCTTCCTGGCCTGTAAACCTTTTAGCGCTTTAGCCACCGCTTACATCCGCCATTGCTACTTTGAATGTCTCTTCTCCGGTTTCCTCTGTTTGCTTTTTATCCTCCTCTGCTTCAGAAATGACAACCACATATTGTTTTGCTAAACACTCTTTCTTCTTCTTAGTCGGCAGCCTCGGCTTCTTTTGTTGCTTCGGCTCAACACCAACCGCCGCCGCTTCCCTAGCTGCAGTCGCTCGAGTTTTAACGTGATTACCCACCAAATGCTCCGATCGCTTATTGGGCCTACCTTCTCTCTTCTTCTTCTCGACTACAGGAGCACGTGCACGGCGTACTCAAAATTCGTTCAAATTGGGGACAGAACAAATGGAAATGGAATAAGCCCTAAGTTGGAAATGAGGATGATGACACGTGATTCACATCAGGTAATGACTTTAGGGTTGCAGTGGAAGAAGGAGAACGAGAGTTGTTGGGATAGTATTGCTTTCTTCACCCGATTTCTTTCTGCATATACAACACACATTACGAGTTACCGTTCGTATGGTTATCTACTCTTATTTGGATCTGACTCCAACCCATTTTTAGCTTTGGATATGATCTGACTCATTTTAACTTTAATATCTATAATTAAATTCACTGGTACACAATATAAACAAATATACAAATGATGTTATAAAAAAAATTATAATTTATAAGTTATCCAAATTATTGAAATATTATTTTATTAAATAATTAATTTTTAAATTCAATTCAAAATCAACACCCATGGGTTTTAGGGGTTTTAACCTAAGTAAATGTATATGTTCGTGCTTTTTTTTTTTTTCTATGCATATTTAATGTATAATTTCCCCCAATGATTATTTTATTTTATACACAAACTTGCATGGTTAGATATAGGAGCTGTATCCATAAAAAGTTTGACTCTTTCTCTATGCATCTCCTATGACCGACTTTGTCTACTCTTGCCGCGTCTTTGACTTTCTCTTCACTCCCCCACCTCCACTCACTATAAAATACATTCTTCCTCACATCATCAAATTACCAAATCCAATACATAACCAATTATACAAATCTTTGTAGTGAACTAGCAATGGAGGTTTTTTGTAATAACAAAATACCCCTCTTCTTTCTTGTCTTGTTAGCCACCTTGACCAGCTTGGCACAAGGCCAAGGCACCCGAAATGGCTTCTACCAGACCTCATGCCCAAGAGTTGAAGCCATTGTGCAGTCTGCAGTTGCAGCAGCTGATCGGGCCAACGCAGGAGTCCCACCCGGTTTGGTTAGAATGTTTTTTCACGATTGTTTTGTTAATGGCTGTGACGCCTCTATCCTACTCAATGGTCCTTCTAGTGAGAGAACTGCTCCGCCCAATTCTCTATTGAGAGGCTTCGAGATTATCGATGCTGCAAAGACGGAGCTCGAAAGGGTTTGTCCTGGGGTCGTCTCCTGTGCTGATATTCTTGCACTGGCTGCCCGTGATTCTGTGCTTCTGGTAATTAATTACTTTCTCAATACCTTGTTTAAGCATTTCCAAGTCGCCAGTAGAAATATTACGTACGTTGTTGGCTTAAAACTTGTACTTATTCTATTTTCCAATCGCTGTTCACTGTTCAGGCTGGGGGAATTGCGCGCTGGGCAGTGCCATTAGGTCGTAGAGATGGATTGGTTTCACGTGCTGCTGACACTGCAAATCTTCCTGCTTTCAATGACGCCGTTGATGTCCAAATCAGGAAGTTTGCTGAGAAAGGTCTTAACGCCCAAGATCTTGTTACCCTTTCTGGTAAGTTAAGCATATATAACACTTCAACCGTTGCAACAGTTACGTACTATCAATGTATTAAACTGATGCGTCTATGGGTTTTACTGATTTCCAGGAGCACACACCATTGGGACGGCAGCCTGTGCATTGTTCAGCTACAGGTTATACAACTTCAACAACACCAATGGACCCGACCCATCTATTAACCAAGCCTTCCTTCCCACACTCCGAAACCTGTGCCCCAACGGAGGAGATGGTTCAAGGCGTGTGGCTTTAGATACAGGAAGCCAAAACAGGTTTGACAATTCATACTATGCAAACCTGAGGAACGGGAGAGGTGTACTTGAATCTGATCAAGTGCTATGGAGCAACCCAACAACACAAAGGTTAGTGCAACGGTTTCTTGGAGTTAGGGGACTCCTTGGATTGACTTTTAACGTTGAGTTTGCAAGATCAATGGTGAGGATGGGTAATATTGAGGTGAAAACTGGGACTCAAGGAGAAATTCGTCGGGTTTGTAGTGCAATTAATTGATTAATGACGGATGTTATAATTCGAATCCAGAATGGTTTGATAGGAAAAAGTTTTTAATACGTAGGAAGCTCTATAAAAAAACTGTAAATTTTCCATTCTTACGTGTATGTGATTAGTTATTGTAATACACAACACGAAAAGTTGGTAATGATATTGATAGTCCCACATGTTTTTGACCTGAGACAAATTCGTCGTTTAACGCATTGACTTTATAGAGATTTCAAAAAATTATGACTATGAATTTGGATCGAATATTAAACTAAACCAAACCTTGACTTTGTATTCATATGTTGCCAATGATTTATTCATCAAAAACGAAACTTGCGACTTTTCATTTGAATTTCATTTTCGAAGAAGATAAAACCAAATGTAGGCTTAGGAGGATTGTCATTTTGGAAGAAAAATAATTTGGATAGAACTTATTTAAATATAATATATATATTTTAAGGGTTTATCTTTTTTTTTTATCCCTCTATAAGCTACAGTTACTTCTAATAATTAAATTTTTTAATTAATCATAATTTTTTTTGAACAAAACATTTCTTTTTTATAAAAAGCTAGCAAGAGGCTAGAGTTACAAGGAAAATAAGCATTCTCTTATAGGACAAATACACTAATTTTACCGATTCATGGAACCACCTATCGTGTTCCTAACTTTTAACCAATTGTAAGTTTGACATTTCTCCACTTGCTAGGTCTGGTTTGTCCTAACTTCACAATGTTGTTAAATATGTAATTATTTCGATATCTCCATATAGTCGATACAACAACAATAAGCACCCTAGAGACAACACTGTTAACATTTTTTTGGCATCGTCCATGAGTGAAGAAATAGTAAAAGATCATCCAATAAACTGATCGTGAAAGGTATTTTACTCCATCAGTTAGCTCTGTCTTCTTTAAATGATTATGTAGTAATTTTATATTTTTATCTATAATTATTTAGCTAAAGTAATGAATAATAAGAATTTTTAATATAAAAAGGGAATTTTTTTAATAAAATTGTGAGATTTCATAATAATTTAGAATAAATAGCCAAAAATTAGAGTTTTTCTAATAATATCAGTTAAATAAGTCTGTGGCTTCCTTAATTCGTCAATGGCTTCCTCAATTCGTCTGTAGAATGTTTGGAAATAGAGATGTTCCTTGTTGCATTTTTGGAATTGAAAGCATTGCGTTTTGGCCCTTGTAAGTAGTACGTGGGGCGTATAACAGGTCACACTTGGCATACTAGTTGAGATGCTAGTACGCGGGGCATACCACTGATGTACGCTTTCCATACTAGTGGATGTTGGTCGCTGTTGGGTTTTAATTCAAAAATAGATTCATAAACTAGAAAAATATGACAACAGAAGACTTTAATTTTCTAAGTAACATAAACATTTTATACCAACCAAGGATCTTATTACAAGTTATAGAAATATTAAACACTAACCAAATGAAGGATGAAGAAATAACAACCTTTGTAGTTATTTAAGTCCTCTTGGGAGGCTTGGAAATTGGTGAAGAATGTGGAACCTTTTATACACCAACAATAACTCAACTTGATGTAGATGCTAGTCCATAAACTCTTAAACACTTGAGCTTTAAGTTCATAACCAATATGAACTTAAAGAAGGCATGAAGATGCAAGTATTCTTCATGTTTTCTAACCAAAACTAGAGAGAATGGGAGAGAGGAAAGAGGTTTCGGCCATTTCCAAGAAGTGAAGGATGAGCTCTCTAGCCAAATGCAAACCTCTTATTTATATGCATAAAGTGAAGATATTAATCATTAGGGCTTAACACTTTAAGCACATATGTCTGCATGTCATAAACATGTTTCCTATGCTTGAATTCTTTTGAATAAACTAATGGAAAAGCCATACTCTTCTTCTTTTTATGCAAATCTCAAAAATTACATAAAGAAGAGAAAAGTTAGTTTAAATTTTATAAACTCAAGGTTTATAAAAATATAAACTTTGTTTTTTGAGTAAAAGACAAAAAGTTTCCAACTAGTCCAAAAAGTTGGACAGAGTCATTGTAAACGAGTTGGACATGATCATCGTTCGATGGTATATCCCAAATACTTCGATGATTAACATGCTCGACAACACACTGATGATTATTGTTTGGCTCTCAGATTTAGAACACTTGTTTCACTTGTGAAATCTATATGAGTTGATCATCTTTATATGTTTCGCGTCGTGTGTCGATACTGGTGAAATTATCACTAGAAATAACTCATGTTCGAGTATCAAACCACTTGCAACGAAATAGTATAGCTGAATAATCATGCGTATACCTCAACTCTATAATCTCTTCAAACTAGCCATAATATTTCTTTCCTTTCTCACCCAGCGCTAAAACCACACAGTTTTGTGTTGTGGTTTGTGCATCACAACTAAGTACCATAAAGCTAACACCACTGACTATTCATGCGGTGTAAGAATAAGCATTCATTTGCGGACCCATTGCAAGAACCGAAAACTCTTTGTGGAATTCTGGAGAGTTTTCTATTTTCATTTGATGAACCTAGTAAAGATAAAGTAATATGTATTATGTATTCTTTAGATCAATGAAACAAATTTGTTTATTAATTTATGTTATGTTTTCATGAAATTAATTACGAAATTCTCTCTTTTCATTACTTTGGGGATGTTCGAATTTGAATTTCCTATGTTGATGACAAAGAGATTTAGATTTAAAAAGATAAAAAAAAAAAGTTAAGGATGAAAGTTAGAGATAAGAATAGTTACTTGACATACTGTGTATCTTCACAGCTATTCAATACAAACCATTCTATGTTATGCATTTCTGTTAAATTAGGAGTTTTGATTTGAGTTGTGTCGGTTGGTCGACATTTAGACTCAAACATTCAAAACTTTGTTATTTCAATGACAACATCTTCATTTATTTCCAGACGATTGAATTGATTCTTTACATCTCGAAGGTACATCGAACAAAATGATAAAGCTTCTTCAGCAACATAACTGTATCGTCCGTGTTTCTAGGCTAGTCATTAATGATGATGTAATAGTCTAGGTTAACCTTTGTAACCCGTCTTGACATCATAAAGATGTATTATTTGATTATTATATGTTTTGTGCTTAATTGTGTGACTTAAATAAATTAAGGATAAAAATAAGCGTCAAAATGAAATTTTAGATAAACCCGATATCTATGAAGGATGTGGTAGTGGTCGTGTCAAGGTTTCTGAATATTTAAAGAATGCCGAAATCCGAGTTATAACGAAGAAGTTATGACATGTTGAAGTTTCGCGACAGAACCAGCCCGACACTACGTGA